AAGGTCAATGGCTATATGTGGTCATGATCCTGAGACAGCGTGTTGGATTGAGTTGCTGGTGCCAACCAACAAAGCTGCCTGGGTCTGAGTTTCACAACCAACATTGGGCACACCACCTGCAAAGGAAGCAGCTGGAGCAAGCAGCCCAATTAAGGAGACCTCCCAATCAATATCTACTCAGGGATATGCAGATGACCAGCATCCTACTCTTAGCCACTTCACACCGCGTTACACAGGAAAACCCAGTTCAGCTAGAGTTTGGCCATACCTCTCAAGAGCACTATCGTACTTATGGGGCAGCTGCTACTGGCAGACTAGGAGGTGTAGCAGGGGAAGGTGCCTTTGGCACCTACCTCCAAGGACAGCTGACTGCCACCATACAACACCCTTGTTGTGGTACCCCATGCCTGGTGCACCTGTGCTGTAGCCTAGAATTGGTAGAGGAGGTGAGGCTCCACTTCTCCCAGTGAAGAAACTCTATAGGGGACCATCTCCCCCACGATTGTGGAAGTGACATTAACTCCCTGGCACCCTAAAGTTTTAGGGTTTTTTATTTGGCCCGGTTGGCCCTTTAAAAGTTCTGTTGCTCCAATAAAGAGTCTGTTCTAGCAACTACTTTTCACATTGTTATAGAGGAGGGTGCTCACACAAGAAAAGTCCACTCTGTTTATCCATCTATAAGTCCATAATGCCTACCAGTTGCATTAGAGGAAGCCTGCTAGAAGGCTCTCTGTATCATTTCATCCATAACTAACGGGCAATTGGTTCCTTCCATCACAGGGCTGTCTCCTTAAATGGCCACTCTGCTTGGTCATTATAACAATTATGTAACACTTAAAAATTCACACCTGAACAATCACTGTTAGAATCTGTCTCACTATTATAAACTGTAGCTCCCTTGAGTCTGCCCATGCCCGCCAACATGGCAATGATTCCATAACCACAGTCATCAGCTCATTACTTATGTCACATTCAGCCAGTCATGTGGTTTTATTTTTTATCATTTATTGTTTATGTTTATAATTTTTATTGTATTATTAGTAGCTTATATGTGTTGATTGTTATCCACCTAAAGAGTCCATATTGCACTATTGGATGGTATAGAAATGAAGTAAATAAATAAATTATACAATGAGAAGAAATAAATGAATCTTTTACCAATGGTAGGATTTTTTAAAAAAAAGCAGAAAGTTCAATGAACTTTACAGGAAAGAAGACCAGCATCATAGGGTCCCTTCAAGCACTGTAGTTCTAAGATCTATCTACTCCACTAGAGTCCTCTCCTTATCACTTTCTTGATAAGGATTTAGATATGCCAGAAACAGCTGCCATGCATGAGATTGTCCTGTGGTTATTAGTGGGAAACAAGGCCTGTCTCATGGTATATGAACATCTTTGAATTGAGACCATGGTTTCAACAAGTTTGATCTTTCTGTGCAGAGATTTCTAAGCTCTGGTTTACACTTTACATGGCAAATTTGACTCTAACAGCACACAGCAAAGACTGAAGCAGGATACAGTATGCATGTTTGTAAACACATAGAGATACATGCCAGGAAATCACATCTACAACTTTTTATTCAGCAAACTCCACAGTACATGAGAAAAATACATTTCCCACCCCAAGTGTGAATCAGTCCTGAGATTTGAAACCCAACAACACAAGTTATGCCAAAGGACAAATAACTGATTTCATACCATCATTAACCAACATTTGATACTGTAAACCTGTATCCCCACTGGTTGATTAATCCTGAGAAGAGATTTAATACACATTTCCCTTTCCCCAGTCATACTTTTCCACAGCATTTGTGACTTAAAGACTGGAGTCTAAAAAGTCTAAATCCCAGCTAGTGTTACACACACACACACACAGTACAAAAATAACTAGGAGGAAGAATGTTAGTACAGTACCATCTAAACAGAGAAGCTCAAAGTGTTGCATTTTCAATGTTGGCTGACAGTTAAATGGTCTTCCTAGAAGGACAAGATTGTGTGCATAGGGGTTTAAAATGTGAGTATTATTGCTTAGTGAGTAATACACTCAGCCTGTTTGGAGTTGATAAAGATGTTTTTCAAACCTAAGAAAGGAGATTTGTTGCCACAACTACAGCACTGGGGTCTCTCTACAAATAATATTTTACTGGCTAGACTAAATGTAAAGCTCTTAGCAGCTTGGGTGTAAACCACCATTGCCTCAGTCTGACAACTCAACCCAAAACACAGTATGAAATTTACCTGCATTTTAGTATTATACACCATCAATAGTACTGATTATGTAACTTCTATTGCACAGGCCATTTTGGATAATTTCTTTCATATTCATTTGATATCTTATTACCTTTCCTTTCTGCCACAGAGACTCAAGTCATGAGTGCATACACTGATATGCAATGAAATTTTACTTGAACTAATTAGAAACAAAGACAATTGGTTTAGTCTGATTAGTATTAGTAAAATGCAAATGTTTAATCCAATCGAGTTTTGCATTTTCTTTGCTTTAAAGAAAATGCAAGACTCTTCAGATTAGGCTCAAGTCGAATACTATCCTCATTTTGAACCCCTTTGCTGCATTCTACACTTCTCACAGCAACTGGATTATACTATATTCCTTCCCATTTGTTTTGTTCCAATCCCACTTACTGATATATAAAAACCCCACAGCTTATTATATTTGAGCTTTGACACTGCTAGAACCTATGTAGTGCAAATCGTTAGGCCAAAATGGTTTGAATTTAAAACAACTTTACACTTATTTATTTATCAGGAGGATTTATTTTATTTTATTTTATTTTATTTTATTTTATTTTATTTATACCCCACCTATCTGGTCAGTGAGGACCACTCTAGGTTATTATGGAAACTAGATTAAACATGTCCTTATCTCCAAAGTACATGGTATGATTTCTCTTTGTGTAATTCCACTATAACACAAACTATATTATAACCTATATTATAATCTCCATAGCTCTTCCTTCTCCTCCTCCAATAAAAATCCCAATATACTGTACGCTTAATGCTAGAATTTAGTAAAGTGTTCTGCTCATTGGTTTATTTTCAAGATGGTTACTGCCAGTTAAATCATAATTCTAAGCATTGTTAATCTAAAAGAACATTTTTCCCACGACTATACAATCAACAGATAACATGACCACCTCTTTTGCTAACAAGTTATTTTTTAACACCACTACTGTTTCTTTAGTTTTTTAAAGAAAGAAACAAATTTAAATCTGCCAGGAAATAGTTTAGCAGTCATATATGTCTAAACTACAAGTTACAGCATTAGTGGAAGCAACAAAAACTTCAACAGAAATTGTTTATAAAGCAAAGACAAAGTTGCCAAGAACAACATTTCTTGATAGCAATCGCTCCATTTAGTTACATCAGACATAATAAATATGCAACTTAGTAAGTCAGCCTGTAGCAGCTAAGTAACATAATATGACTTTCCTAAGTATTCAGTGTGGGTGATACACTTATGAATAATGGTCAAAACAGCTTAAGCAAAAACAAAAAAGAATATAAATGATTCTATGCTTCCTAATGGCTGCTAATACTTGTCTTCGAAAGCAAGACCATATTTAATGAGTGTTAATAGCTAAATGTGTCATTGCTTAGCTAAGGTCTAAACTCCATGGGTACTAAATAATCTTAAAGCCTCCACAGACAAGATGTCAATGCTTTATTTAGAAATGATGCAAACTTAAAAGGGAAAGCCTATCTATTTATCCTGGTAGGACCTTGCCTCAATACACATTTGACAAAATTAGCTTGCTGTTGTTTTGTAACTTGACAACTAAGAAATAGCTCAGCTTTGTTTGCATGTTCGATGTCTCAGGTGCAGCACCAGTTTAAAAAAATGTATCTGAAAGAATCATGTATGGGGAAGAAGCAGATCTACTTCAACATCTGGTCTTATCTTAAACCACCATCAACCTAGCTGGGATAAAAAAGAGGTTTCATCCCTCCACATCCCAATGAAAACCTTGCTCTTCATATCTACTTTTTGAAAAGATCCTGATCAGGTTTCTAAATATGTATTTAGCATCATGTCCAGCTTGGCCATAGGCCACAATATGACCTTCTAGAATTCATCCTCTATAGCAGTGGTTCCCAATCTTTTTTGAGTTGCAACTCCCTTTAATAACAGCCAAGCAACTTGTGACCCCCTCCCCCAATTTGCAAAAAGAATATTTTTAATGGGGTAAAGTCATCCCTTTTCAGAAAGCAGAAATCTCTTTCTCCCCACAATGGGCCTGTTTCACATTTATATCCATACATATTAACTTTAATAACCCACTCTGAAAGGTCAAAGATGAAATTATTTAACAACAGCTACATATAAAGTGATCCATCACACACACACACACAGAGAGAGAGAGAGAGAGAGAGAGAGAGAATACTTTGGGATCCCCTTGGCGGTCACAACCTCCAAATTGAGAAACACTGCTCTATATTTATACGATCTGAGGAGATACAAGAAAGGAGATAATTAGAGGCTCATGACAAATTCTGTTCTAAATTCTAAAGAGATTAATATCAGAACATAGAGAGCTTTTTGTTTTACATGTAATCATATTTTCTTTTCAGAGTTTCACCACAAAAAGGTGATTAGCAGGTGTGTATTGGTCAGCACAGTCCAAACAAATGTTCTCGCTTAACAGACAATTGAAGGACATGTTACTCTAATTAGTTAGCCAGAAAATGACAACTGGCACCCTGACAAACTTACATCAAGAATATTCAAATCCTCTCCATGAAGTACTTATGATGGCTTACATTCTGTTCAATTGTATAAAGTAACAGAAATTGCTGAAGTATTTAAGAGTTTAAGGGGAAAAACATGATAGAGCATGATAACATGTACAGCAAGTGATAAAACGTCATTCATTTCGATCTTAAATGCTGTGGATGCCCATTCATCTTCCTTATCAACATTAATTACTACAGTTATCATAACTAAAATATTTTCAAAATCTATAAATAGAAGAGGGACTCACCATCACTTAATGTTGTAAATTCCAGGAAATGATATTCATAAAAAACATCTATTTTGGTTTCCACCTGGGGCCTCTTCAAAGTTGAATAGATGTTACCAGGCCGTTTTTCATCATGTTTCTCCAGCTTGTTTAAACCACAACCCATTGCAATAGCTGATAACAAAACAAAACAAAACAAAAAGGAGGGGAGGACTGATTAGTTAGTTCGAAGTATCTTCCTTCCCACATATAGCAACTTTTTTTAGTACGAATTACAACTTTTTGTCATGGATTTTTCAACTGCACGATTAAATGGTTCAAACGTTCAGTATGTTAATGGAATCCATTCATCAAACACACTTTCAGTTAAGACTTGACTCCCAATTTCAGGCATTATGTACTTCAGAAGGGGGAGGGAGGAGAAGGAGAAGAAGGAGAAGAGTGTTCTTTCTCCTCACCATGAGGATTTCTACTTATAATATATTGGGAACACAGAATACACATTACATTCAGCAACAGCTAAAACAAAATAAATAACGTGGGGGAAATTTGAATGCAACAAGAATATGTGAGAATCCCAGAGGGACAATCCATAAGTGTACTGGACCTCTGTCTAGTAAGAAGACTTTGCTCGGTGTAAGCATCAAGATAGCACCCATCATCTTTCATCCAAAATATTAAATAGCAAACATTGGAAACTAACATGTTATTGAGCATGCACTTTTCATTATTAATAGTTTTACATATATAAATCTATGTCAAGGAGCAGTTCAAATCAATGAGGTTGAAATTGCAGAAAAGAAAATATCTAACACTGATTCTGTACCTTTCCGGCAACTTTGCTGGAGCATTGTCAGGACTCTTACTTGTTGTACAATTGTGCTTCTCACATACCAATATATTCCTCCAATGATGTTATAGACTCATAGCTAGGTAGATTTGAGATCTTGCTCCTACACTAGCAGAGTGATCAAGATAGCACGAGAAGCTAAAGAGAAACTTTGCCAGACCTTCCAAGCCAATTTTCCTGAAAGATTCACAAGAGCAGCAAGGAGTAGGGAGATAAGCATGTATTGATTAAAATAACTGACCATAATAGTACCCTGCCCCTCTAAAAGTCACTTGCATCTATTTCATAAGGCTACTAGGTCCATACAGAGCCAGACAAAGTCTACTGTGTACCATCATGTGAATCCATTACATCTTTTGTTGAAATCTGGCATGCTATGATGTGCAGTCCCATCTTTGCTAACAAGCTACAGTTTGTTGACTAGCAACGACTTACAACCTGAAACAATGATTTCCTGCTGGCTTATTCAAATCATGACTCATCATGACATCTGAAGCCACTACCACAATTCTCCTGTGGATTGTTTCCTCATTACAAACCAACTGACAAAAAGGGCAGGAGAAAAATTAACTGCAAAGGGGGAAGACAATGCTGCAGACAAAATTGTGCTCACAACCCGGGGTTCAACCTCAGGTAGCCAGCTCAAGGTTTACTCAGTCTTTCATCCTTCCAAGGTCAGTAAAATTAATACCCAGCTTGCTGGGGAGAGGGGCCAATGTGCATAATTAACTTGTAAACTGCCCAGTGTTTAAGTGAGATGAGGCAGTATATAAGCAGCACACTTCATTTAAGCAACAAACCATGGATAATACAAATCATGGCTTATCCTGGTATGCAAATGTACAAGGCGTAATAGATACAAGACTCAATTGTTATTTCAGGCTTTTGAAAAACAAAAGTTCATCCTAAATGACTTCTGGGCTATTCTGCTAACAATCCAACTTATGCTGCACATAATGTGGTGACAGGAAATGGGATTAGATTAAATGTCAACATTCTGACAGCAAACATTTTCTATACAGCAAATGCTGAAGTGCAAGCTCTTTATACCATATATGCTGACAGAGAAAAACTCATTTTTAATTTAGATTAACAAATTATTCCTCCATGAATGCAGTGATCTTGAGACTCCTAAATCATTCATATGTTCAGCCATATGGATAAACCAAGACTGAAAAACTATCTCTGTGCAACTGTTAACAGAATTAATATAATGACACAGACAGCGAGCCACTATTGAAGAAAAAAAATAACATCAAGTTCTGCAGTTGAATTATTTTTAATGCCTTCTGAGTGAGGTAGAAGGGTCACAGAGAGCAGAATACTGTCTATCCTTCAATCCTTCTGAGATATAAATATCATCATAGGCATCCTTCAGTCTCGAGAGACTATGGTATCGTGCTGTGCGTGGAGGACTTGGAACAGCGTCTAGTGTGGCTGAGAAGGCCAATTCAAGAGTGACAATCCCTTCCATACTTAGGACAAATACAATCTGTACCCCGTCTAGCTCCCTGATTTTGCTGCTTCCGTGACTGCCTCTTTGCGTCGGTCTGCTGGGTGAGGGTCTCTTCAAATTGGGAGAGGCCGTGATGCACTGCATGCGTCCAGGCTGAACGCTCAGATGTCACGGTTTCCCATCTGTTGAGGTCCATTTCCAAGGCCTTCAGATCCTGCTTGCAGATATCCTTGTATCGCAGCTGTGGTCTCCCTCTGGGGCGCTTTCCCTGCTCTAATTCTCCATACAGGAGATCCTTTGGAATCCGACCATCAGCCATTCTCACGACGTGCCCAAGCCAACATAGACGTCGCTGTTTCAGTATGTATACATGCTAAAAATTCCAGCTCGTTCTAGGACTACTCTGTTTGGAACTGTGTCCTGCCAGGTGATACCGAAAATGCATCGGAGGCAACGCATATGGAACGTGTTCAGCTTTCTCTCCTGCCTCGCATGAAGGGTCCAGGACTCACTGCAGTACAGGAGTGTGCTCAGGACACAGGCTCTATAGACCTGGATCTTGGTGTATGCTGTCAACTTCTTATTGAGCCATACTCTTTTTGTGAGTCTTGAGAACATGGTAGCTGCTTTGCCAATGCGTCTATCCAGCTGGACATCTAGGGAAAGAGTGTCAGAGATCGTTGAGCCAAGGTACACAAATTCATGGACAACCTCCAATTCTTGCATGGAGATAATAACAGAGGGAGGTGAGTCCACGCCCTGGCCCATGACTTGTGTTTTCTTCAGGCTGATAGTTAGTCCAAAGTCTTGGCAGGCCTTGCTAAAACGATTCATGAGTTGTTGGAGGTCTTCGCCAGAGTGGGCAACAATGGCTGCATCATCGGCGAAGAGGAAGTCCCGCATGCATTTCAGCTGAACTTCAGTCTTTGCTCTCAATCTAGAGAGATTAAAGAGCTTTCCATCTGATCTAGTCCGGAGATAGACACCTTCTGTTGCAGTTCCAAAGGCATGCTTCAGCATGACAGCAAAAAAGATCCCAAAAAGGGTTGGCACGAGGACACAGCCCTGTTTCACTCCGCTTCAGATGTCAAAGGGATCTGATGTTGAGCCATCGAAAACTACAGTGCCCTTCATTCACTCATGAAAGGACCTGATGATGCTAAGGAGTCGAGGAGGACATCCAATCTTAGGAAGTATTTTAAAAAGGCCATCCCTGCTAACCAAGTAAAATGTTTTTGTAAGGTCTATGAAGATCACAAAGAGTGGCCGTTGTTGTTCCCTGCATTTCTCCTGCAACTGTCTGAGAGAGAATACCATGTCAGTGGTGGATCTATTTGCTCGAAATCCACACTGTGATTCTGGATAGGATATAAATATAAGACCACTCATTTATGGGACCAGCTAACTCTGAATTCCTCCATTTATCATTTCCAAGACACACTGGAAACTACTTTACATTATTTTGCCAACAGAGAAAAAAAACTTTTAGAAAGAAGAGGTGGTGACCACAAATCTGTAGAACACAAGGTACTATCACATGGCTATGCAGGGCAAACTCCAGTGGGGAAACAATAAGAAGGGCAAGACAAGATGAATCCTGCTACCAATCAAAACCTCTTTCCCTTTTCCAACCCTCCCTGAGCCAACTTCCTCCTACCTAAGTTTCCAAGATGGGGAAGAAAATTACTTCGGATGGAGGTTTCAAGATGAAATTGTAAGGCACAGACAACCCAAAGGACCAGAGAGCAAAATTAAAATGATACACATAAAAATGAAGGAGACTAGACAGAAGTAAAAATAGAAATACAAGCATCTTCCCAGAAAAGCAAAACTAGTAGGCATCTAGAGTATTGTTGCACTAATCCCACTTTAGGCCACAGGTTTCCTACTTTCCTTCTATTCCAACTTCATAAAAGCTGCTATGAACTGTAGCATATTTGTCATTCTGTTCAATATTTATGGATGTGTGGACTTCTAACTATGGAAAAGAGCTCTGACAAGGTGTGGGTCATGTACGACCAGGAACAAAACTGACATCTCATCAGACGACCATGACAATTCTCACATTTGGCATACTGTGCATGCAAATACTGACTTGTATGTTTGTCTAAATTAAAACCCTATAAATGGTACAAGCCTAATAAATGTATTAAAAATAGAGTTTATTAATAACTAATATGCATATTTTTATAAGATAGACATCCTTATGTACTATTTTCTCTTATATAACTTTGTTGGTGGTGAGTAGTATACACTACTGGCAGGAAGAAACAAAAGTTACAGATCAAGCAACAGTGATCAAAGAGGAAGAACACGTGCACAGCTTCCTCATGTGACGGATGCTTAGCACATCTGGATAGGCACTGAGACTTGCTTTCATGTGATACACCTACATCTCCAAAACACTTCCCTCTTCTCTGTGCAGCTAAGTGCTGGTTCACACCTCTTCTCCAATGGTTATCCTGTACATTTAACTAGACCAGCAGTTCCCAACCTTGGGTAACTCAGGTGTACTTGGACTGCAATTTTTAGAAGCCTTCACTACTAGCTGTGCTGGCTGGGGTTTCTGGGAGTTACAGTCCAAAAGAGCTTTTGTTACCTAAGGTTGCAAACCACAGCTCTAGACAAGTCATTCTCAATAGGGGCGACATAGCCCCCCGGGGGCCCCTAGCACATTTAAGGGTGCCACAGACTGGAAACAATTCTTCACACACCACCTTATAAGGTTCATTATTTGGCCTATATTTCTTTCATATTGTGTTTATGGCCATGCCCCCCCCCCCCAAAAAAAAAGGTTTAGAATATCTGCTCTAGACCATTCACATGACCAGTATTAAATAAGATGTGAAAATTCACAAGTTTCCATGG